AACGTTAACAGTGATACAATATTTTCATCCAACTCAGACCAGTTATTTCAATAATATTTCCATAGCTAACCTCCCCACCCTCCCAAAATCAGTATCTAGTCCAGGATCACACACTGCATTTAGTCGCCCTGTCTCTTTAGTTTCCTTTAATCTGAAACATTTCTTCAGCCTATCTTCATCTCTTTTGAGCTTAACATTCTTGAAGAGTGGAGGCCAGTTATTTATAGAATGTTCCTCATTGTGGAAATGTCTGATGTTTTCTCATTGTGAGATTCGAGTTATATGCATTCTTGGCAGAATGTACCTCATGTTAGAAATTCTTTTTTAATAGATATAATTCCACTTAAGATATTTATTGGTCATGTGGGGAAATATCACTCAGAAAAAATATCACTTTTTCTTTGGTTATGTGTGCAAACAATTTTCATATTCCTTCCTTACCTCAGGAATATATAGTTTAGAAATGTATGTGTATTGAGAAAAGAAGTGTGGTAAATTAATAATGAGAGGTGATACGATATTTGAACTGTGAGCAGTAAGCATTTTTCATTTCCTTTTCTAAAAGGGGGAGTCAATTTGAGAGTAGCCGGAGCGGGGCGGCTTATATTGGTGGGATTTGCTCGTTGCTGAAAGGAGGAGGCGTGAATGAAGTAGGTGTGAACATCTGTACAGTACAAAGTGGTATGATGGCTGACGGTGTTTTCCTAATATTTAAGAGACAATTTCTCAGTGTTCCTCATACTCCAGATATTGCTATTTTATTAACAACCAATATGGTCACTGCAAATGACCAGCAGACACTAGGGAAATAATGGAAGATAATATCAGATAATTCTGTTCATGTTCTACTTAGAATGATTTCCAGATTTAGCTATTTATAGATGATAGAGAAAATCTTTACCTTTTTTGAAAATAAGGCCCTCTTTATCACTTTGACTGATTTTCCAGAGAACTGGGTAACTTCCTAAAGCATTGGGTTACTACCTAACCTAGCTGGAAATTTTCTTCCTTCCTCAATATTTGGCAAATTTTTAGAGGAAAAAAAAGTAGACTAGGTTTTCCAAAGGGTTACTTCTACCCCAAAGGCACTAAGCCTGATGGAAGTGACCTTTAAAAAACAAAACAAAAACCTGAATCTTTGAGAGGCCACATGTTGAAAAAAAGCCCCTAGGTCTTGATTTTTTTTTTTTTTTTGATCATCACCACTTCCAGTGACTTACACAGCTTGTTTTCTAAAGCCACCCTCTATTCAGTTTGGGATTTCAGGAGTGCTAGTGGGCACACAGAGATGAACAAGTGCCAGATAATTTACACATTTATTTTTATTTTCTTTTATCTGAAAGACTGGCTTAATTATATACAAGTATTAAGTTTTTCAGGAATGTCACTAGTGAAATTTGGACTCAAAATTAGATATAAGTTTCCAAATCCCAAAATCGATGACTCCTTGACTTCTGGTCTTCCCTATGACTTACACAAACATGGATTTATTTCTTACAACTTCTTCCCAAATGCTCAGTAGTTCAGCACTAGCTATTGTGTGCTTAACCTCTGCTAAATAAAATGCTTAGAAATTACTTATTTTCAATTATATTGTGACACTTTTTCTGGACCCCCTTAAATAAAAGATAATTTGCATTTACATGTATTTTACTTTTGTTTTTGTCTTTCAGTTTGGTAAAACGGATTTAATGGCAGTTACACTCGCCCAGTCACTAGCGCATAATATTGGTATTATCTCAGACAAAAGGAAGTTAGCAAGTGGTAAGTTTAAAGACATGTATGGTTTAGTTATACTTAAAATAGACTATCTACAAAATGTTTTGGAGCATAAGATTCTTCAATTTAGTTGCTCGAGTTTGGGCGATAGCGTAAAGATAGCCTTGGGCACAAAGTGTTTTTTCCGAAAGTCATACAAATGTTAATATTTACATTACAGATGAAATGTTTTCCATGTATAATAAACATTTAAAGTTATGTGAAGTTAAATTCATCATTGAATTTAATCTATAAAAGGATATAATACGCTCAGTTTGGTAATTTTAAATGGTCTTGTAAAGAATCCTTGGCATTTAGGTTATTTAAGGCAGACTGTTTTATTATGGGTTATTTAAAACATCTCCTAATATGACCACAGAGGTGGAATTTGCCTGTCAGGATCAGAACTGATAAACGGCTTAGTAGAATATAGACCTAGTAAAATTTACTAGGTTTAGCATCTGTGAAGAGTATGTTTTCCCAAATAAGTAAAGTTACTTCACCAGAAATTGTCAAACACTGTATATTTGGAGCAAGTTGATTATAATCGTATTTATTTTATTATTTTAATAATAAATATTATAAATATGATTGTTTATATAAATGATAACTATTACCACTTCTGGAGTGCCCATTTTTCAACAGATAATTGAATGCCAGTATTATCTACATCTAGATGCTCATTTAATCCTCAAATAATCCTGCAAGATTAGCCCTATTTCACTTATTAACCCCATTTTATAGATAAGGTGACTGGATGTTAAGAGGGTAATGCCTCCAAGATTACGCATGTATTAAGTGGCAAACTCAGATTTTGAACCCAGGTGTTTCTATTCTGAAGCCCTTTACTGTACCGCCTTCTGCCAGCAGCCTTGGCTGCAGAGGTTTTAAACATGGACAGGAAATTGTGAGAATTCCCATAAAGGTCTGTGGAGCCAGAATCCTGTAATGGTGCATTACTGCCCATTAATATTCGATTGTTAAGACATTTTAAGTGAATGCTTTAAAATTGCTGCCCCTTGTTAAAATATCAAGAGGTTTTATTTTAGTAAAAATTGTATAATCTTGATTGGGTCAAAGTAGATTTTTGTTGTTATGCATTGCATGAAAAACTTCAAATATAAGGAAAACTGACAATTAGGTGTTACTTTTTTAAAGGTAATAAAGTGAACATACGCTTTTAAAAAATAGGAACAATTCTAACGCACCTGTTTTCACTTTGTAAAAAAGCATGTGTTTTTGTTTTCTCTTAGGCGAGTGTAAATGTGAGGACACATGGTCTGGATGCATAATGGGGGACACAGGGTGAGCCACTTCTATTTGAAAATAACTCACTTTTCCTTTCCCTGCTGTGCTGTTGTCTTCTTAAAAGGACGACACTCAGTAACCTAGTGCATGGAACCTCACCACAGGAATTTAAGAGAAAATCGGAAGTAGATTTTCTCAGAGGCTTGGTAGGTAATATGTTTTCACGAAATATTCTCTTATTTATGAAGACATTGCTGTCCATGAAACTGTTAGGTCAAAGATTTTTTTTAGCCTTGAATCTAGGCTGAAAATGTAAGAAATGAGGAACAACTTTGTAACTGATGGCTTATCTTCTAATTCCCTTTGCTTTTATCTTCTTCCATTCTAGTTAAACGAGTTATAAACAATTGTGTGTCTCAAAAACAAAAACAAGAAGAGAGCCTGGAATAGTTGCTTTCTCAGATTTCTGGCAGCCTGAGGTGTCTGTTCCCACAGTGGCTGGTTTCAGACTACCAACGAGAGGTCACTGAACGAAGAGAGGGAAGTGATGTGTCCAACCCACTCTCCTGGCAAAAGTTTTCATTTTTATACTGTCCTACCCTTGACACACTATCAGGCACCCATCTTTTATTCTTTCTAAATAAATTTTATAGCCACCCTTTTATGCCAAGCTTATCACTATAGTCTTACTTTAAACTTTTTTCATCTTGTGCTCTTCTCCCCAAAACATTCCAGATACTCAGGCAGCTTTCAGGCTCCCCCTCTCTCCTCCTGAACTCACCATCCATCATCATAATTGAAAAGTATAAGTAAAAGAGTGAGTACTTATATACCACCACCTAGTTTAAAAATAAACACTGCCTTCATAGTTAACCCCCTTATGTTCTCTCTTATCAGTCCCCAGCCTCAGCTAAGGTAACTACCATCTTGAACTTGGCTGATATCATTCACAGGTCCTTTTTTATACATTTACTGTATGTGTGTGTGTGTGTGTGTGTACTGAAGTAATTCATAGCATTGCTTTGCGTGTTTTCAGTTTATATGAAAGGTATCATACTATATGTCTTCTTCTGTGACTTGCTTTCTAGATCAACTTTGTGGGATTCATCCTTGCTGATAGTAATGTAGTTCTAGTTCAGTGAATGTATACAGCACAATTTTTCCATTCTTCTCTTAATATACAAGAATTTTTGTGTCAAACACATGAGTCATGTCATTTTCCTGCACAGAACTTTTGTGAGTCTCCATTGTAAAGAACAAGGTTCACATTCCTTCCTCCAGTATTTAGATGTCCATAATCTTTCTTCATCCTCATTTGCAATCTCATTTTCCACTACTGTTTATGGAGTTTGCTTATCATAATTTTACATGATATGTGTTAACCATAATCTTATGTAGATTTTCAGCCTTTTAAAAATATGCTCATCATAATTGTACAGGAATTTCCAGCCTCTGTTGATTTCTTTAATATACCCTCTTCATCTGGAATTCTCATTTTTCTCTGTCTAACCACATTTCTAGCCATTTGAGTTACAAAGAACCTTTTTGTCTCTGAATCATAAGTTCTAACCTGGTGCCCATTACTGCCAAACACCTAACTGAATGTGCATTTCTGCAAACAAAGGTATCCTCCTCAGAACTGCAGTACAACCAAGAAAATCATCTAATTCTTAGCTCTCATTCAAGATCAGCCCTGTGTTGCAACAATGTCATTTTAGCAAAAGGTTCAGAATCAGGTGTCACAGTTAGTTTTTTGTCTGTTAGCTTCTTTCAACCTGGAACAGTTCCTCAGTCTTTTTTTGATGGTCATGACTTTGACACTTTTGTAGATTATAGGTCAGTTATTTTGCAGAATGCTCTGCAGTTTGGGTTCTAGCCCAGTTTTAATATTTAGGAAAGACTCCTTTTGAAATAAATTATTCTTAATTCTCTTTGATGGAAATCACAGATATGTGTTTGTGTTTCCTTTGAATGGACATGCAAATAATGAGCAAACCATAGTGACCATTAATCACCGAATGAAGAATTTAGAAATGTGCCTATTGAATAAACTGTTATGGATTGAATGCAAATGTTGTACATAACATTTATGGAATGTATGGTTTTTATTTTATTTTAGGAATAATGTACAACTTTAACAATATTCAGTTTTAAGACTAATCTACAAACAAGGGAGACTAAAATTGTACCCAGCTATTGCTTTTCTTCTCTCTTACAGGTATTATCTTCCTAAGAAGTTCACCCAGTGTAATATTGAAGAGTATCATGACTTCCTGAATAGTGGAGGTGGTGCCTGCCTTTTCAATAAACCTTCTAAGGTAATAGGTGTGATCAGAGTTACCAGTTATTAATTTTTATAAAGTATTATAAACACAAATTTCCATTCATTGGATCTTATAAAAGAGAGCTTTTCAACTTGGCTTATGTGTACATATTCTATATATGCTAAATATCTGCATTTCTAAGTTGAGTTAATGTTGGGCATTTTGGGCTATTCTGATAGGAATAAAAAGCAGGTAGAAATTAAGGTTTTGCTTTCTGAAAAATGTCCATTTTCTTATTTATTTATTTATTTTTAATGGGAGTACTGGGGATTGAATGCAGGACTTTGTGCGTGCTAAGCATGCACTCTACCCGTGAGCCATACCAACCCCCCTATTTTCTTTTTATATGACCAAATGAAGATTTGGGATTAGCTTACAAAAGTTGTTTCACTTGGCTGTCTTTTTCATTTTCTTGATGTGTTTTTCCCTGCTTTGGATACCTACTTACAGCTCATACTGATAGAAAGGGGGTCCTGTCTCCGCTCGTCACTCCCCACCCCTGCCTTTCAGAATGTGCAGTATGTTTAAAATTACAGTACTTCTCAATAGATCTGCATAAAGCAGAAAAGGAGAAAGTCTTTTATACTTAGACTTTGTCAGAGGCTTTTACAACTTGCAAAGCATCTCCTGGTTACTGACTAGAAACCTTCATGCGTGTGGAAGACTTCACAGGTTAAAGAAATGTTTTGTCCTTGTTGATTATGTGAACTGTGCAGTGCTTCTGTACATCACAGTGACATGTAGCATTGCCTTTGTTCATTCTCTGTTCACTCCAGTGAAATTTAGGAAATGTATTGTATTTCACTGAAAAGCAAATCGACAATTTTAAGAGTTTCCAGAAGCTTCAGAAGAGTTATTATAACTCAATTCCTCCTGCTGTAAATGGAAAACAATTCAACTCTTTTAACCAAAATAACTGATTATTTTAAACCCAGAGTAAGATAATAAGTGCATTTTTCATCTGGCTCATTTTGCTTTTGGCTTTCAAAGTTGCCTCATTTGTTAATGAGCCTTCTCAACTGAAAGTGAAATCTAGAGATGGGTTGATTGTTTCATCGGAGAGAAGAGAGAAATCGAAAATAGGTAGGGATTTTTGTTGTTGCTTTCTGGATTTTTGTTTTTTCCCTCTAGTTGGTTTAGAAAGTATATGTGTGTGTGTGTGTTTGTGTGTCTGCTGATGGATGTGTATTCGTTTCCATTCTGTAATACATAAACTTGTATTAACTTTTGAATGAATATTATATATCTGGAACATAGCAACTATTTATTTTTTACTAATTTTACCTATCACCATAGGATGCATTATACGCAAAAGATAATAAAATCATTGGAAAGGTTAAAAAATAGAAGTCTTAAAGTATACTCTTGTATAGGCCAGAAACTGCTTCCGTCCCTGGGGCAAATTAGTGCTGTTCTCTGCAGAGCTATATTATAGGAAGAGCTATGTTTTATATTAAATAAATCAATGGATACATTAATTTTTCTGTCATTCTCCTCGTTGTCCATGAAGTAACTCTGTTTTACAGGAAATGTAGTTTATAGAGGGCTTTTTCACAGGTAATGGAGTTTGCTCCTCACAACAATTTGTGATGTAGATGGGCAACTAATATTATTCCTGGATTAAATATTTAAACACTTGGGCTCTGAGATCCCAAGCCATTTGCCCAAGATAAGTAGCTGAGCCACGATTTGAATCCAAACATTTGACTCCAAATCCCTTGCTTCCTGTTTGAAATGAAATTTCTGGAGTCAGTCTGGCTTGATTTCAGTCAATGGCTAGATCATCTTTCATTTTGACGACACGTATCAGACCCTATTTGGCATATATGTAATATATGTACATACAATTAAATCTGAAATGGAAACAACATTAGACACTTATGTTCTAAAGTTTCCATTTCTTAAATTCTCAAGTCATGATTTCTAGTTTAGGAAAACAAAAGTATATTTTGGAATACTGACAGATAGGTCAGAAGTGTGGGTGTGGCACTTATGGTCTCTCATAAGGTATTTGTTGTTGATTTTACTACATTTTAGTTCTCTTTCTGGTTTTTATCCCACAGCTTCTTGATCCTCCTGAATGTGGCAATGGCTTCATTGAAACTGGAGAGGAGTGTGACTGTGGGACCCCGGCAGTAAGTCTCTGGGTGTTTGGACGATTTCTTGAGGTTGTTCAGGGTCATTCCAGGTCCACATACTGAGACCCACAGAGCAGGTGTTATGCTTAGAAATTTTATAAGATTTGTGGAAGACAGATGATTACTGTCAGATTATATGTTTATTTTAGAAAATATCCTGGTACCTTCAGGAAAATGACACCATTTTCTGATGTTTTGCAAATGTTTATATTCCTCAGGAATGTGTCCTTGAAGGAGCAGAGTGTTGTAAGAAATGCACCTTGACTCAAGACTCTCAATGCAGTGATGGTCTTTGTTGTAAAAAGTGCAAGGTAAATAAATGTTGATTAATAATAACCAGCTGACAGAAAAGAGGACATATTTGATTAAATTGTTAAGGCTAGGTAAATATTATCTAATTACTGTAGTGGGAAGGGAATAGCTCAGTGGTAGAACTTGTGCTTATCATACATGAGGTCCTCGGTTCAATCCCCAGTACCTCCGTTAAAAACATAACTAAATAAAAATAAAAATAAAATAAACCTAATTACCTCCCCCCCCAAGGAAAAACAAACAAAAGAAGTTAATATAGTAAGAGCAACATATATTGACTGATGAAGTCCCAGGTGCTTTAGAGGAGCCTCACAGTCTTGTGAGATGTAGTTACTATTTTTATTCCCATTTAACAGCTGAAAACACTGAGGC